GCGTGACGCTCGGTAAGCTGTAGGATGACATGTTATTATATACCAGACGTAAAAACTCTTCAGATGCTCAGTCTGCATTTTGTACCCACTCTGAAGTCTGCAGTCTATATTTTGTACCCGGTCTGCAGTCTGCTGTCTACATTTTGTACTAACAGGTATCCGTGGCACCAATACAGTTTATTTTTGGTTACATTTATTCGCACAACACACATAATCTACCACAAAATACCTGTGTGTAAGGCAATTGGACATTTTCGTTCTTTTCCGAGTTAATACTCTTCTTTCCTTTTGTAATAATGTAGACCACTTACAATGTTTCAAGTAATCCACCCTACAAAAAATAACTCTTGCATGCATAGCATGCCTATGTTTTGAAATAGGTGCCCTTGGCCAGACTTGAGCTCACTATTTCAGTATACTAGTCCGACACCTGTGGTATCACTAAACTTGATTCCAAGGATCCAATACCATCCAGGTATCCCAGTTACCCTGCTCACAGGGTCTAGTTAATCCAGTTATACAGCTACAGCCGTTGAGTACTACTCAAGATTCTTGAGGATTTAGGGACAGCATTTCCTAAGGAAAAAAAAACAAGTAACGGTTTATTTACTTAACAAAGGGAGAAGCCTTGGCTGTGCTCTGTTCTGTTGTAAACCACACAGGAAGCGGCCAGAGCACGAAAGAAGTGTAGGGACAAACGCGAGACGTTGTCGAGTGCTTCCCCCCACTTCTTGAGGTTTAACCACTATCTGAGTTTTGACTCTGAAACAGCCTCACGTGTAACAGTAACAATGAGCCTCCGTAACACTAGACCACCCTTAACACTAGACTGGCTCCCAAATCTTTTGCTCTGTCAGAGTCTCGCACGAATAGAAGACTTTTCAGCATCAAAGTCCTAGGTCCTAAAACTTGGAAATCCATCAAACAGTTATTCCAGGAGCGCCTTTGATATGAAATGATGGATAGCCAACGAGGCCCGTAGGGCCGAGATGAGATGATTATAGGCAACTCGTACCGGATAAGCGCGAATGGAATAATTGTATTATTAAAAATGCCCTAAAATACAGATAAATCATTCAAACTCTTTTTCAAGAACTCACGGAATGTTACAGTGTACGAAAACGCTTCCGGTTTAATTCGTCCTCGTGCGCGCGCATGGTGTAATGGCTCGCAACCTATGATTGCAATCATGATGGCTGAGCCAATGAAACTTATGAATTACATTATCCAATGATCCACTTTTTAAGAATGATGAATATCTCATGTAAAGTATTCTCCATCTATTCTAAAAGAAAGTGATGACCTCTCATATCAAACCCATGGGGTACAAATAGTCTTAACATAAATGTAGTGACCACGCCCACTTCAACACCCCACTCAAATCGAGTGTAATTTTCGAATGTTTTACCATCGTGCGGATTCTCTACGGAAAAAGCACTCAATGTACCTCTGAAATTTTAAACTATAATATTGTGGCTTTCTATTTCGCTAATTTTCTAACTTGAAGGTAAAGTTTTTCCCTCGTCATTTTTACCTTTTCTCCGAGCGGTTGCGTGAAATTAACAAGGCGTTTTTGATCAAAACACGACCGAGCGAAGGGTCTCGGGCGATATCTCTTTTACGCAGGCGTAAATTAAAAATGTACCGCCAGAATCAAAAAGAGGAACAAATTTCCTTTGTTTTGATATGTAAAGTGTCGAACAAAAAGCAGATTTACCTTCGTCAAATGGCGTTTCAAAACAGCTGTATCTTCCTCCTTTTGATTTTTCCTGTTTTGTAAGCGTGAAAGCAGTAGGAGAGGGATCGGGAAACTCAGAAAGCGCTTCGGGAATTAATCTGCCATCGTTTACTTACAAGATAAACAAGTAAGATTTGTGAAGTTCGTTGAAGTATGAAGTCTAAATAAATGCCTTTTAAAGCTTGTTTGCTGGATTTTTCGTGAACTTCCCTGATTAATTTTTCGTTTCAGCTTACTAGTCTATACTATTTCAAAGCAATGTCAAGACGAAGACGGAGAACCATGAGTCGGTCCTTTCAACAATCGTAAACAAAGTGTTTGAGCAATCAGGTATACGAGGTGTAATAATCAATAGCTGCATATCAGAAGTCTTCAGAAAGAAAGTATTCTGCCTTCAGAAAGCTGTCAAGAAAGCTAATAATCTTGGCGGAAGGCAATTAAACGGGCCCTCGGTATCGATTTAATATCATATCGATCTCAATATCATACAGTTTTGTATCTTTCTTCCGTGGTTTCGCCTTTCTAACGAGGGTGTATGTTGAGAATTCATTGCAAAATCGCTTTGTGTTTTTTTAATTTCCCTCTTTGACCTGTCCGCCATTTTGAAAATTCGTAACGGAGAGCATGCGCATTACCTGAGGTTAGTGGTTGCGTACACCTGGAACCGAGAAAAACAAATGTTCGTCGCACTGGGGAAAGAGTTTGATATGATTAACATGTATTAATTAGTTCCATCTACTAATTTTGATCTCCAACAAGTTTCATCCAGTAGTCATTAGTAATGCTTCTGTGAGTATTTGTGTGAGTGCGTGTGCTTTAAGCACGCGCGTGTATATCTTGGTGTGAGAATGGGTACATAAGAATGCATGTGCCTCACCGGCCTTGTTATTTCATTGTAGAAAAAGCAAACTTACCTCACTAGTATGGTTGTTCCTTTGTCTCGTATGTGTTTCGGAGTTCGAACAAGAGATACATCGAACTCAAGTCATTGGCTCAAGTTAATAAAAAATCCTTGCTATTGTAAATATTAGGGGGCTTCTTCACAGTTTATCGATGGAGACATACTACGAAACTATTTTGCTTGTTTCCTCAAAAATGACACCGAATAAATTTCTAGTTATTTCTGAACCAACTGTTTTAACTTTTTTTTTGCGCATAAAGTTGCTGTGACGCCACCACATTCTCTTTAGAAAAACCTGTCGATTATGTTTTGCTTAGAATACTGAAAAACTGATATGAGGATCCTTGAATTCCGGTTTTTATGCACCGGATAGGATGAGACTTGACTTTCTTCCTTGAGAAAGGATTATATAGAGGGCAAAGCAGGTGAACTAAACCCGAGCTAAACTGATTTACATTGCGTAAATTCACTATGATTATTGTTCACAAGCTCAGCCGATACCCCATCCTGATTCAGTCGTTAACTACAAACAAGGGTTTATGTATCTAAACATGTGGGGAATTATTTAATCATTCTAATGCTTTTTTACCTAGTATAGAATGGTCATTTTAGGGAGATGAATGGAGCTTCAAGTCGGAGCACATCAGTAAACTGCGCTAGAAAGCATTATTTGCTAAATCCCTGTCAATGGACGCGAAATATACTGTTTAAACTATGCATTGGCCGAAATTTGAATTGATGACAGTGACAAAATTGAACATCATTTACACAGATTCCATCTGCAAATTTTCGTAAAGGGTGTTAAAGGATAGAAACGTGATGTGTGAATATTGCAGACAGGCAAGGTAAGGTGAGATTTGAAGTTTTTTCCTTTTAAATTCATGAAGCGTAAAACTCTGTTTACAATACACTTGAGGTGTTAATTACTTTAAAATTTGCCCGTGAAACGGGGTCAGGAGCTCCCCTCGGTTAACCTCATGGTAGCGGAATTCTATCTCAAGAGTTTAAATTTCTTAGGGTATAGCACACTTTGAATGCCATATATGCTTACTGCCTGAGGCTGAGTATAAACTGATTTTATTGTTCTTATCATTTTGTAACTGAATATGGAAATATCTCAAATTTAGCAATCCATCTTTTAACTCAGAGACTGACCAGGAGAAACTTTTTTTCAATTAGTAAGATATGCATTCGGGACCGGTTTCAGGGAAAAACAGGGATTTATCATACGATCGTAGGATTGTGTCGCGAACGCATTAATAAATTCTCAAATTTTAATACACAACCAGTGGTTTCTGAAAAACATAGAAATGAGTTAAATAGCATTAATTAACTATGATTAATTAACTATGATGACCAACAAGGTAAATGAACATCAAGCGAAGAAAGGGCAGTAAGATTATACCTAACGGTTAGGATACTTTTACCAAACGACACTCAGGAAAAAATTCTTACTGCTGACTATTGGGGCGAGAACGATTTAAATATGTCTGACCAAATATGGTGATACCGTGCAGCGTTGCAAATAAAGCAGTTTACCATGACAGGCGCTGCAATGCCGTTTGGAATAATCAAGGCCCTCCCTCGAGAAATCATTAAGAGAGCTGATTAGTGAAGCAAAAGTAGCATTGGGATCCGGTGGTGTTTGTAGAAGCATCAGTTTTATGCCTGCGCTTTTTAATTGCCTGTCTTCGAGAGGAAATTGTTTACTTTCTCTTGTTGTCTAATAACGGCCTTGGAAATAACACTTAACAAAGGTTGCACTAGTTATCTCAGTGTGTGCCAGAATTAAAGGGTCGTTTTAGCAGCTATCAATAAAAGTTCCTCCTCTCATACTGTCTTCGCTCAGCTAAGTTCAGCTAACGTGGACCAGCTGCTCCGTCAATAAAAAATCAGTTGTGCTAAATAAAATGCCTCAAACATTTGTTTTGTTCCTTAAAACTTTTCAGGGATATACGGAAGGCATGTGGAAAGATTTTTGGTTTTCTTTTTTTGTTCTCAGTGCATTCGAGCAGTAAGTATTGCATTCTAAGTTTTTTATGATCTCATTTGAGTCAGTCTCCTTTACGTGAATTGCGTATATTGCGGCAATGCGTGTAGTGTTACTCAACAAGTTATAAAAAACATAAAGTGCATATTTTCTAATTAATTTTTTGCTTCTAGAACAGATAACCTTCAAACTAAGTTTCTAGCAGAAGCTATTGTCATTACAAATTGTTCAAGATGTTCCTGTGAAACGCCTCCTATATCAGATAAAGCTCCTGGGAAATATGTAGAGTTTTGTATGTGCTGTGACGCCAGGTGAGTAATACATGACGTACTACACCCCTTAATCCGCTGTTCTCCTTGACACGTCACTCGACCGGAGTCAATTGGATACATTCCATGCAGCCATATTTATCAGACGTGGATTAGAACGACGACTTTTCTCAAACTTTTTTAGCATTTTGGTACCGTTTTTGACAACATGTCTACGGCTGAACTACCTTGCTACACTTTGATTAATGTTCTTAACGATTCTGAGGCGCAGAGTGAGCAAAAGCTTGCCGAGGATCTGGGTAAGTCAAACAAACCCCAAACGGTATTTTTTCAGTATGCTAGTAAAATTGGTTAAAGAACTAACATTTCTCCTTTTTTATTTTTCAGAAAAAGGCGATCTCAGGGTTAAAACAGAGGCTCTTAAGAGAGTGATCCAACAAATTTTAAATGGAGAGAAAATGCCTTCCTTGTTGATGGTGATCATCAAGTTTCTGATGCCACTTGATGATCATACCATCAAAAAACTCCTTCTGATTTTCTGGGAGATTGTTCCCAAGACTGGCCAAGATGGTAAACTGTTACAGGAGATGATTCTGGTTTGCGATGCATACAGAAAGGTACAAAACGAGACAATTTTTGTGTATCCGTAACTGTAAATGTGTAACACTAAATTAGCACATGCAGAGTTTAGGGAAGCTTAGATATACATACATATATATATATATAGGATCAGATATTGAATTTATGTACATGGATATTGGTAAATCACATAGATTGAAGTTCTTTCTATAAAGTAAATGTATTTTGGGGAAAATGGAGGGATTTTTACGGAAAATATGAGGAAGCAAGCCTGTGTAGTTTATCGTGTGAATAACCTAATTTTATTTAAGCGGCCTGCAAACTCAAAACAAGGCCAATCTATAAGGAAATCATATCACTCAATGCTGTAACTTACAGTTAAAGTCAGGCCATATGCCACATACTTTTGTGAACTTTTCATCTTTTCACCCCTGAGATATAAGTAAACTTAAATTGATTGATCCACACTGTTTTCCATACATGTCTGATAACTTGACTCTTACTACTAAATGAAGCAGGGCAGAACAAAGTTTTATTAAAATTAATGAAAGGCACCCTAACTATTTCACCCTGAGAGAGGATCAAAAAAAGATTTTCTCCCTATGTTATCAATACAATTTAAAGCAGAAAGGTGAAGAGAAGAGAGGAAATCATCAAAGAGAGGATATTTCTTGTAGAGTCACTTTGTAATCATGGCATGATTTTCTAGCAAACCAGCAACCCATCATTCTTACTTTAAGAAGACCATTGTTTAAAAATTTTTTTTTTTCTGGGTTAAGTATATAATGTCTACTTCTGTCTTTACCAACACTAGGATTTACAGCATCCCAATGAGTATATCAGGGGATCTACTCTGAGATTTCTTTGCAAGTTAAAGGTGTGTGTAACTATTGGCATGCACTGTATTCCTTGTAATGTCATTGTCATTATTTAATACATACATTTGTATTGTGGTTAAAATGTTTCAAGCTCCAGGTAGGGTTGTTTTTGTATTTCTTTGGTTTGGGCTTTAGTGTGACAAGCAACATGTGTTGGATCTGAAATTCATTATGCAAGCAACGTAACAAAGTTCACATCTAAAATGTTTATTACCTCTTATACTCTCAAGGAAGCTGAGTTGTTGGAACCTCTCATGCCAGCCATCAGAAACTGCTTAGAACACCGTCACTCATATGTGCGACGAAATGCTGTAATGGCAATTTACACAATCTACCGGTAAGCAGTTTATATATTTAGGATAATTTTTTTTTTATTAACAATTATATACTTTCCAAAGCTTGGGCTATGTCCTTTTGAGAACTTTAATTATGAGAAATTATCTGTATATCTGTGTTCTAAGAGATTAAAGTCAATAACATGTGAACAATTTCTTGTTTATAAGGAAAGAGAAAACTACATTAAGTTTCATTTGCAGAAAAATACAGTATGTATCCCAAAATATATGAAAGCATTTAAGGCTACTGTCAACTAATTAAGGTGCCTTCTGGAAAATTTGTCCCACCTACCTTACTTTTAAAGAAACCATAGAAAACTATAAAATGGATAAAGGGGTAAGTTTCTAAACAAACCGTGGTGCTAAGTTGGCGGGAGAGTAAGGGTAATTTACAGGGTAATTTAGTATTATCAGATGGGTTGATAACATAAATTAACCACCATAAATAGTTTCAAAGCTGATGTTTTGAATGTTAGCCCTTTGTCAGAGCAAATTAAATGGTATAAAAGATTTCTCATAAGTTGTGTAATAAACTGCTTTTTCTTCAACAGAAATTTTGACTTTCTAATCCCTGATGCCCCAGAGTTGGTACACACCTTCCTGGAACAGGAACAAGATGCGTCCTGTAAACGTAATGCCTTTATGATGCTTATCCACGTGGACCAGGTAATATTAAAAATATAACTAGTCGGTAATTAATAAATAAGTTTGAATTCATTTTACAATTACTTGTGGCTTTGCTTTTTTACTGTTTCACCATGTTATAAATCTTGATGCTTTATTTTTAATCTATATGTAGGTTGCAAGTAAGAACTACATGACTATAGTGTAAAAGTGAAATAAAAATGAAAGAGGTTTCCTGTCAATTTTTGCAGAAAAAACCAGAGGGGGTAAAATTGATGTTCAAAAGTCTTTTTAAAACAGGATAGGTGTTTACAGGTTATGTAATATGAAATTTTAGAAAAGGGAATTACCAGCTGATATACAATTTCTTGCATTATTAGCATATACAAGATTTTCCAACTTTATCTACAACCACATTCTGGGGAGAACGATAGTAAAACTTTGCAATGATGGGTGATTTCACTTGTATTATACATAGACACTCATTTGCTGTTTTCTGTAAAGGAACGTGCCTTGGAGTACCTGAGTACTTGTATAGATCAGGTCAACACTTTTGGTGATATACTACAGTTGGTTATAGTTGAACTGATTTACAAGGTATTCCTAATGTTTTCTTTTTTGTGTTTCTTTGTAAGAGGTTTTGTAAATGTGTGCTAAATGTAGCTTTTTAATAGATTGTATTACATGCAAAAGTTAAGTAATTTTCCCATTGTGTGACTATGGTGGATCACTGTGAGGTTTAATTTTGTATTCACTTGAACATCGTTGAACCTATACAGGAGAACATCCTTTAAGCATCCACACTTAGTTACTTTCCAGTCGCATATAAAGATTAGTTTTTTCTTAACAATAATTCTGGAGGCGTATTTTTTTTTTCAATTTAATTGTTTTCTCCAACCTTTTTGTGTTGTTGGTAATACTGTAGTAGTTGCATCTACAGTATAAACAAACTTAATTGTAACAGATTTTATACTTAAACAGTTAAATGTACGTCTATACCTAGTTTCAAATTAAAAGGGGTTTTAAACCATGCCCACTCCTTACCCAAAGTCCACATGCAACAATTTTGTATTACTGTGTAAATTGGGTTTTTTAAATATTACTGAATTTGAAGATGGTAGTTGACACTAAACTCTTGTATCAATTAGTAATGCATAATCTATGTTTGAAGGTGTGCCATGCCAACCCAGCTGAGAGATCTCGCTTCATTCGATGCATCTACAATTTGTTGAATTCATCATCGCCAGCTGTACGCTATGAAGCTGCTGGTACTTTGGTGACCCTTTCATCTGCTCCCACAGCAGTTAAGGTACATATACAGTCTAGCTAATGGTTGAAAGTCTATGAATACACCCTTTCTTTTCAGAATGTCTTTTTCAGTCCCTGGCAATAAATAGTCAATCCAGTAGCATACTCAGTTTAATGAAGAGTTCATATACTCTCTTACATTTACTACAAAAGAAATTGAAAAAGAACAGCCTGAAAGGAAATAACCTGAAATAGCAAACCATAAGGGAGTAAACGCACATACAAACTAGGTTCACAAGTGTGCATTAGAGTAATAGTTTTTAATTTCATTTACTCTTGACTATATAACTATATGGACTTTTAAAGGTAGAGCACTTCTTTAATACAAGGCTATTTTGAAATTTTATCAAATGATCAATAAATATACAACAATTTGCATGGATATATTGATGAATGATATCACTGTTTTTTTTATCTTCACCTATCAGTCAGCAGCGTCCTGTTACATTGAGCTGATTGTGAAGGAGAGTGACAACAACGTGAAGCTCATTGTACTAGACAGGCTGATTGCCTTAAAGGACAACCCTTCTCATGAGAAAGTCCTTAGGGTAAGTTTCTGAGTCTCATTCCTTTTACATGTATTGAGGGGCAGCAGAATACATCACAACTCTTAAGCTACAAAAGGTGATTGACAGATAACGTTTCTTCTTCCCTATGATGTGGTCTGTTTCTCTTTTTAGTCTAAGTTTTACAGATTTTTTTTTTTTCATTTTGCTTTCTGACAGATTATGATATTGTATGAGAAAATAAAAACAGGATTTTTTTTATTTAAATCTAAAACAACAATATAAGAGAAGACAAAAAACAGGCTTATCATTTTAGAGCGAAATATCCATCAAAGTCATTAACTTTTTTGTATAAAGGACAATAATTTCTCCTTCTAGGAATTAGTGATGGATATTCTTCGTGTGCTGTCCTCTCCTGACCCTGAAGTTCGCAAGAAGACTTTGCAGCTTGTGCTGGATCTGGTTACTTCAAGAAACATTCATGAGGTAGAGAAAATAGAAGCATGTGGATCAAAGATCTCTTTGGTTTTTTTTCCTTTCAAATACACTAGATGGGATTTCAGTTCTTTCCTGCTTATAGGACAGGCTGAACACACGACATTTTGAACTTATATGTAATTATGTTTTCTTCAGGTTGTAGCTGTTCTAAAGAAGGAGGTGACCAAGACGCACAATGACAGTGAACATGAGGATGTTGGTGGATATCGGCAGGTGTATATATCAAAATATATATCAAATATTTCTTGAGGCTCTTGCTCATTTTACTCAGTCTGCACTGACTGCAACCTCAATGGATATTGTGTATTGTTATTAATGTTAGAATTTTGTCTTTGTGTAGATGCTTGTCCGCACTCTCCACACATGCAGTGTTAAGTTTCCTGATGTGGCTGTGTCTATTGTACCATTGGTAAGTGAAGTAATCATATGCACTATGCATACAACATGGGTCTGGGAGAGGAGGATTGATAGAGTGATGTCTGTACTCACCTCACCCCTTGGTTCAATTCCCAATCATATACTGTGGGGTCACATAGGGGTTGAGTTCACTGTTGGTTCTACATCAAGCCTTTTCTATGCAGAGCATAATAGTGGGAGGTTTTTTTGGATGTTTACAGGTATTTCTCAAGGTTGTCAGACTTACCTCCCTCTATAGAAAGCAACAACCCAATTTCCAATTAACAGTGGACACTGTGCTTCCATTAAAATCTTATTTACCTGCTTTTATGTATTAACCCTTTAACTCCC